ATTATTAGTTTGTTATATATATATATATATATATATATATATAAAATTAAACTTTTCAATTTATTGTTCCATATATTGCTTACTCATAGTTGTTACTCATGCACATGTATATTTCTGTCTGTGCACTGATAATCATTTTAAACATCCGCTGCATTCGTAAATTTTGAGATGTGCAGTCGGGAATCCAAAGATCTTTTCCGGATTTCACATATTGCCGTATGGCAGTTTTCTTTGGGTCCTTTTCGGCGTTTTCTTAAATTTCGGATGGATATGTTTCTTCTTCCCGGATTGCAAAAACAGCTAGAGGAAAAATAGACGAATTTTTTTAATGATCATTTTATCCTAAAAATCGACGTAGGAATTAGGATTTAATTTATCACTGGTACTCGATTAACATCTTTCCGTCGATTATTAGTCTGTTCTGTTTATTAATATCTTTCTTATATTTTCAAACTGATAAAAGGGTCCTTAATTATTGTTATAACTTTTGGTCTCCAACAGTAATTCGCAATTCCCACGACATTGTTAGCATTTGTCGAAAACTTTAGTAATGACTTCGAGATAGTGATTTGGCAGAATTTTGGCAGGATCTCTTTTTTAATTTTTTGGATTTTACCTTTGTTCCGCAAATGGGATTTAAAAAAGTATTGATTTCTTCGAAAAGATTACGTATGTTTCTTTTATATCATCATCCCCTGTTGATCAAATTTGCTACTATTGTCTCTTAGTCAAAAAGTGTAATCTTCCCTTTTGATTTAGGAAGATTATTTGCTAATTTTCAGTGAAATTCCCGGGAATTATTTTCCAAGGAGATTTTTTTCCAATATTTTTTACATTTTGCTGTCATTTCTAACATTGCGATGTTATTCTGCGGTAATAATACCTCAGTTACTTTATTAATATCTTTCACTTCTTCACTATTTCTGCTGAAAATTAAAACTGGACCGTCTAAGGCTCATATCCTGTCCTTTTCATAATTGAGTGCCTCATCAACAATCTTTTGACCATATTTTGTGATTTAACATCTTTGGTTCATGTTTATTATTCTTAATTCGATAATACTCACTCTGTGAAACGAAAAAGAAACCTTACATTTAGTATAATAGGTTAAATTCGTAAAACTCATCAAAATTCGTAAAGTATGGAAAAACGATATTTGCATTTCATTACTGTAATTATTCCTCACTTCTATCACTGAAAGTATCGCTCCCTAATTATTCATCACTTCAATTTTGTACTCTTTCTATTGTTCGAATTGACAAATTTCATTATCCTGAGAACGATACTTTTAGTGAAATATTGATTTTCTGCAGATTTTTGGACGAGTGATATAGCTCAAAAAAGTAACGATTTACGCTCATCGCAGAAGCAGTCGAATTTGGAATCGCCAAATATTCGTTACTCTTCAAAAAGACGTTCAAGTTTTACAAAACATTATGTGTCAGCTGCGTCGAATGGCAGTTCCGTTTCCAAGCGTGCCAGTGAAAAGCGTGTTAACACTTTAATTAATGCTTTCGTGGATAAAGGTGGAGAATTACTCTGGAATTTCCTCTAAATTAACAAAGGAAACAACCAGCAAAAAGTTACGGGGCAGATGTACTTTTAATTGATAACTATTGAGAGTTTTTTTCGCCTTTTTTCATTTACTAGGTATTTTATTTCAACACAAATAAATTCCGGTAGTCTTATGGAATCATTCTGTTCTAGTCGCCATATTTTCCCACTGTTTTATCTGTCGTAGATGTAACTGATGTAAATATGAATTTTTCTGAGCAAAAGTTCTAATTTTCTTTTAATTTGAATTATTTTTAGGTATGGTAGCTGCAGGAACGTGTGTTTCACATATGACATCACCCAAGGGTAACTCAGGGGTGAGTAATGATGCATCAGCACAGACCATTTCGGGACGACGGTCGTTGCTAAGGCATATATTTCGCTCAGAAAGTTCATCAAATGTAACAGTGGAAAGTGGTAAAGCCATTACCAGTAGTAATAGCAATAGGAATGCTGGAGAACCTGAAATGACAAGCCTGGCTCAGTGCCGTGCTTTCACTCCTTCAGAAGAGCGGAGAATCACTTCGTTAGTCGTTTATTCCTTCAAAAAACAGCAACACCAAGCGAATTAAGTGGTTTCGAAAAGTCATATTTCATTCATCTCTATTTTCTTAGTATTATGTCAATTAGCATTGTTGGGGAAAATTTTCCTCTTGTACACAGATTTTGATCTTATGGGATCGAACTTCCAGAAGTCAGTCAGCTTTTGTACTCTCATCGACATCTTCATTGTTAACGCAGTATGACGCGGATTCTGTACAATCATACAGCGCTGAACTACATGCTGATTGCTCATTTTTGAAACGGAACTGTTTTGATGGGCAGCTTCATCAACATGCAGTTCCTTCCCTTCGTACCTTCAAACCAGGTTGTTCTGCTAGCGATATTGTTACTCAGGAATCAAATTCGCTCTTCACAGGTTTTTTTTTCTTTGCCTTTTTTGAAGCCTTTCTTATTTTAATTTGAATTTAAACGTTGATTTCCATTTCCAAGTTGTCTTAGACTGGATTTTAAGAAAATTTACTATATGGTTTAGCTTTTTAGTCTACTTATTTCCTCGTTGATCATTTTGAAACTAATCAGAAAATGCAAAAAAACTTAGTATTAGTAAATCACGAGGCATCATTGTATCCGTCCCTTCATTTATGCTGTTTCCTTAATACCTTGAAAGATAATTCCTTGACAAGTGAAATTCAAGGAATTATTCCCATACAGTGAACCGACATCTACATACAGATTACTGATTGATTGTTTTAATTTGGGAACCCACATGGAATACATAGCGCGGATCAAAATAGATCTTCCTATCGACTTGGTGAGACGACTATCTTTTCTTGAATTCTTAATCTTTGGCTTCAAATTTTCAGTAAATCCAAAACCTGCTGTAAAACCGAAACCGTTGGCACTGAGGCGTGAACGGAGCGATTTAACGGCTGGATGTGTTTCACACATCACTGCTAACTACAGGGAGGATAATGTTAGTACTGGTAGCGATGTTGGTTTTCGATGTGCTCTGATGCCGTCACCCACATGTCTTGATGAAAATAGCTTGCGTAGATGTTTGGAGGAATTGAAAAGGAAAAGGTATTCATTCTATTTATTGTCCTTTGCTCCTTATGCTTCACGCTCTTCGTCTTTAAAATACATCTGTGGTTATTGTTCAATGATTTTCCAGGATCTATGAGACACTTCTTTAAAAGTTGTTTAAAACGAAAACTTTTTTAATGTTAATGAAATAACAGACTAAAATAATAGAAGGCTTGCTGTAATTGTACTTTTTTAATTAATTTAATAACATCTGGCGTAATAATGTAAGTTCTGAGTTGGTAAGCACAATTGTATCTATGTTTTTTGTCTTGGCGTGTAGTTCTCAATTATTTTATTGATATTTCCACGTGATTATGCGATTTACTCCAAAATCCAAAATCTATGAAAGATTTTTCTCACTGAAAGATTTTCCACTTCGGTTTTGATGTAATACTTTGGCCTCAATTAATAAGGGAGGCTCCTGAGTAAACTTGTAATTTATACCAATTCTGCAATGTTGAACCAAAGAAAGAGGACTAAGATCCTCAAATTAGGTTCTTATTTATTCTCTGGTCTTTCTACAATTATCTAAAACTTCAATTTTTGTTAATTCACTAAACCATGTAATTTTCGTTTCAAGCAGCAATATTTTAAGATAGAAAGTAAAATATATACTTCAACGGGTCATATAAATTTATCGTATATTTTAATTCTATTTGATGGAAAATATTTCAGTAGTAAGCCGTTTTATTACTCTAACTAATCAGGACTGACATGAGATTTGAAAATTTTATAAAACAGAAAAGCTGTGCAGCAATGAAATTTTAGAGACAATTTTTATGTTCATTGGTTCATTTCTCTTTCCTGACTTCCCATTACAAATGAATCATTTTGCAGATAAACAGTTTAAAATAAGAAATCAGTCGTAAAGAAAGTTGGATGAATATTCGAAATGTTTTTCGAATGTTTTCGAAATGTTTTTCTTAATTTTCAAGTTCTTAGAAAAAATGCAGTATTACAATCAATCAATTTCAATCAGTCAGGATTACAATCAATCGTAATTGTAGGCAAGAAACGGCAACTGTAGTTCTTGAAGCAAACTCCAAATCTCGTCAACAGCAGCACTCTCAGCGAAATCACCATAAGGAAACAAGTAAAATTGATTTTGGCGACCTTAATGTCGTTTTAAGGTATGTTTGGTAGGTTTTTTTTCAGTCCAGTCTTATTTCGAAGTTAGTTTCGAAAAAATTCCAAAAGATTTAATATTTTATTTGGCACATCCCCATGAATGCTGTTCGACCTGTTCCGTTTCCATAGCTTTTGAAATGGTTTTAATGAATGGTCCTATTCCAAACAACAGAAAAAAATAGATTTATCAGAGCTGTGAAATTCTCATAGATTTTGAAAGGTGAAGAATATGAGATGCGCTAAATTAACAAACTTATTGTTGATGACAGGACACACTCCAGTGAAAGTTTTCGAACTGATCAGCGTCGTTTGTCGGTTCCCGATTTGGCAGATTTGGCACATAACTCATTAGCAAATGGTGTTACCGGAGTTGTAGCCACGGCTAAGGCATTAACTTCGAAGCTTGGTCGAAATCCAAGAACTGGAGAATTACAGGTTATAGTTATTCAATTTGAAAATCCTTTACCACTAGGTGCTGTTCTGGCTGCTGTTGTAAAACATATCGAGAAGTACTGTTTATCCTGTATATATATACAATAAAGATTTTAACATTATGCAGATAAGTTCAGCACTTTCTTGAACACACTGATAATCTTCACCCTTATTTGCATGACTTATGGTTGTACTTTGTTTACAATTATAATTGCAGTTGTAATTCATTACAACTGTTTAAGCAACTATAAGTAATGGACACTTTTGAACGGATATTATTCCTCGCACTTAATGATAGCTTTAATTACATTCGTTAGCTAATATTTGGACTGTACTATTTACTCACAAATCACTAAGCATTTCAGACGATAAATGAAGGATTAGTTACACCAGTGGTACGACGCAAGCAATACATCAAAGATATCAAAGATATACATGCAAATAATACTGCGAACGATTGGTGTTCCGGGATTTTGCTCCAAAGACCTTTAGCGACTCATAAAAAGTTGGCGAAGGAAGCTGAGAAGGAGCATCTAAGACGTGACGGTCGTAACGGCGCAGAACATATCTTCACCAGAAAGTTAGTCGTCCATTTATGTTCTGTTCTAGAAATCTTATTGGGACGTTACAAGTTATACATTTTCGTTGGGTTTTTTGACTTAAGATAATGCTTAATGCTAATTATACTTCGCACTATTTCTGAATTCCTGGATAATGCAGTGAAACTTAAATTGTTTTGATAACAAGCGATTTTGTAACTTGTCACGTTGAAGATTGGCTCTGGTTTTACGGACGGTTGTCGCCGTTGTTCCAAAAGAGAATGGCTTTTTCTTTAAGTACTTCATTATACCAGATATCGAAATAATTGCCCTAATCATGTACGTATGGAGGAGAAAGTGCTCCTTAATCTATTCTTTATGCATCAGTCCCGTATTGTCTTTTGCCGTTTTCTCATTCGTTTTCATTGGTCGTTGTTGACACTTGTTTGCTTGACGTACTGATGAATAATTAGAAGTGCTGCTTTTGTTAGACAGATGAGGTTTGCGTCTTAATGGAATTATAATGTTCGAACTATTATTATTATTATTATGATTGTTGTTGCTTTGGCCACGAAATGTTGCGGAGATGAATATTTCTTGGGTATGTGTCTGTGTCTGTGTATGTGTATGTGTGTGTGTGTGTGTGTGTGTGTGTGTGTGTTGTTTGTATATGTATGCCAATTATTGCTTGCGCAGGCGATATTTCTGCAATAATAATTGGACACTGACAGTGTTCGGACTGGAATCGAACTTATTTATATTTATACGTGCATATTTTATGGTTGACATTTTTCGAATTGGAACAAATTTGGCTCTTTCGCCGGTTTTACTTCCTGGCCATGTCGGAGTTTTCGTTTACTTTTATTGTAGGAAAATTTAATTTTATGGTAATTGCGCGGTAGTTATTGAGGGATCGGGAAAGGGTGCTATATGGTTTGTAAAGTGGAGACCTAAAAGCTTTGCTACTGCTAATTCAAGAGACTTACCTCTGTAGTAAATAATGATTAATTCATCGTTGCTGAATCGTGGATTAACCAGGAAAGAGCGAGATTGTTATCATTGTAGGAATCAAAAGCAGCTTAGCATATTTGCATATCAAACAGTTCATATTTTAGGATTTATTATTGTTGTGGTGTTATGGTAGTGGTCCTTTTTGCTATAATTAGTTTCACTCCCTTTTCTTTTTTAAGGATTCATAGTGTTTTGTACAAATTAAAAGTCAGAAAGGAGTAGCGTTATTGATCGAAGTATAGATTGTGGATAAAGGCTGATTGCGAGAAATAATTTAAACTGATTCGTTATTTTATGAACTAAAAAGTAGAATTATGTTGAACTTTCGCACATTTTCTCGGTCATGTGAAGAATTTCGAAGTTGAGGGTCCTCCTGTTTTACAAGTGACCTGAATGAAAGTCATATTCGTTTCATCTTCTTTGTGTTTTCCATTTCATAAATTACTGACGACGTGCTTTTTAACTTTCTGATTTTCCAATTTTGCAGTTTTTTCCTTGTTGTATTTTTATGTAAGTAGTAATGCTGACAGAAAGATAAAGGAGGAATGTGGGTAGCAATTTTAAGTCCTGCAGATAGGTTGCTCCAAACTTTCATTTCCTAATATCTCTTTTATCTTAGCATAAGTATGGCAAGAAATTTTATAAAGTTTTCAGGTTCCTTATTAGAAATATCTAGCATATTCCCAAATTAACCTTTCTTTTCTCAGTGTTGCAACTTGAAACTGTCTGACTTATGGAGCAGTTGTACTCACTTTCTGACCAGTTGTTCTGAGATGTATTTCATTTTTGATCTGCCCTTTCGCTGCTTAGTTTCGTTGACTAAAAATTTGAAAACTTCCTTTATATATATATATATATTACTATATAATATACTACCTAGCATTTCTATAGCACTGCTTTGTCTCTGCTTTTAAGACCCTTCTAATCCCAGCAGTTTCATTTCACCTCATCTCTGCTTGGCAGTTTGTACTTTTTAGGGTTGTTTTTTAAGATACCCTTTTTTTTTTACTCCATACTGCACTTGATTTTCTCAAAAAATGACTTTTACTGATATCTTTTTAATTTTATTTACATAGACCATAGAAAAAGACTGTTGCTAAAGTGTAATCCATGTACCAAAAATATTGATTCAGTTTTGAATTTCAATGTTGTATTAATAAAAACATAAATATAGTAAGAGTTTATTCTATTCTTAAAAGGACAGGTAGTAGCGATTGTATGTCCATCAGCTTTTACGATCATTTCTCGTAATTGTAATAAATGAATGAGGGATCGAAACTGCATATTTAGTTTTCCCCATCCTTTTTTTTTAAAGTGGAATGACAGTAGAAATTTTTAGTTTATAAGTGGTAAAGAAAGTTGATAAATGAAACGCAGGTCAAATTCACATTTCTATCATAAATAATTACTTTCCATCGTCCTCCAAACCAAAAGAATGAATTTACTTTTAAACTCAAACACTAAAAAAACCATTTGGTGAAGGAGAGAAGGTTGATAATATGCATTTACGAGGATTCTTTCGTCATTCAGTATGCTGGTGGAGAATCGTTTTCTCATCTGACTTACCATATATCTACTTTCTTAGTAGAAACATTATTATTTTGTTCAACTTTTTTTGGGATTGGTTTTTTACTTTAAAGTGCTTATTTGAAAGATTTTATTTTAGAATAGTTTCCGTGATACCTTCAATTGTGGTTTTCGCGCCACTAGATTGCTCAACCTCTTTGTTGATCTCGCTGTCGCATTTAAAATAGAAATACATCTTATCCCATCGGTACAAGCTTATTCAATGACAGGAACGTCATTTATATTTAGTTGCATGTGGTTAGATACGGATTTCTTTAATTTTGCTTTAATATTTGGCATGAATTCGATGGGATTACTTATGGTTAATCATCTATTTACTACCATAGACGTTATGCTCAATAACAAAAAGCAACAAAATCGTGTTGTCATTCGATAAAACTAACAAGTCAATACTTATTTGTACTTTTTGTTGATACCAAATTATTCAGTCATTACATTCCCAAGACTATCTTTTCTTAAATTATAAAAAACTATTGTATATCGATGTCGTATTAAAAACTGTCACTACATACCTAAATTTGGTATTTTTCTTTTTTCTGTTTCGTCATTCTCCTTGCCCCTATTTGTTTTTGTGACCGTCTCGCCATCCTGAGTGAATTTCTCTTTGCCCTAATTACAACTTTCTTTTCGTTTTTTTCTTTTCAAATCTTTAAATTGTTCTTTTGACAATTTCTGATTTGCATTAAAGTATTGAATTCCTGACAGCTGAAGGTAGAGATTCTTGTGTATAGGTTAATCTAGGACTTTACCTCATTCTTTAACTTGATATTTGACAGCCTCAGGAAAACACATCATATTTTGCACAAAAGTGGTGGAAAAATGTAGAAATGCATTTGAATTGATTGGAATAAAATAAATACCAGTGATGGCAATATAGAGATTTAGTGGTGAGACAGCTTTATAAATTATATAATGAATTACTCGGAATATCTCTTGCTACACTCATCTCCTTTTCCTTGCATCGAAATGATGGGTATTTTGACGCTTTGGGTAAATTGGATATGCTAATTTGAGATGCCTGCTTTCCAATCTGCCGGAGGATGTTGTCGCTTTTCGCTGTTAAACTCGGATTTGTTATCTTTCCCATTTCCTCTTCCTCTTTCCATTTCTCCGTTTTTTTACCACAGGTGTTCCAACTGCTGGGTGTTCTCTGTCCTGTCAAAAGCAAATTTATTCATGGTATTGAATACTTCATAGGAGGCTGGTAATATTTCGCTCTTTCTGCAATAATTCAACAGAGGGTTTCTAAAGTTTTTCTGTCACTGAAAAGCTATGTATTTCCAGATTATTAGCTTGGTTTATCATTGTGATTATATTAAGTTAAAGTCAGATTGCTCCTACCATTAATGCTCTGATTTCATCAAGTGAACATAAATAATCAGGTTAGAAAAAAAAAATGAGTGTTGCAAGCACCCCACAATTACAGATGTAATTGCTCGCTGTCCACTATAACATGTAATTACAGTGTTTGACCATGGAGACAGTTACTTACTGCCAGCGAGAGATAAAAGAGAGCGATTTGAAGTTGGTGGAATTATTCTCTTTACTCAGAAATAGTTGTGGCAATGAGGAATTATTCTCTTTACCCAGAAGTAGTTGTGGCAATAACGATGGGAAGTAGTTTTGAGTTCGTTCACATTTCATTCGAACTCATTTGGCTTTTCAAGGCTGTCCTCTCCTTTTCCTTCCGAATTATTGTCGTCATTGCGCTGCTTGATTCGCATGTTTTTCAAGATGGAATTTCTATATATTTATATATTTACCAAGTCTTTGTGAAATTCTGATCTAACTGAAATTTATAAAGTTAATGTATTATCCTATAAATTGCTACCTTAAATTCTTCATTGTTCTTTGTGATTCGAATATACATGCTTATTCTCACTGAAATGCTGTGTTTCTGCATGAAAATACGCATGCATTAATTGTTTTTATTTTGCCTTTCATAAAGGTTCAACTCAATTTTTAAATTTTGTTTTGAGAAGGATCGTTTTGTCGAAGTTTGTAGTAGTTAATTTGGAAATGGTCTTACACTAAGAAAAAAAAGACTTCAGCTAACAGCTGATTAGAGTAATCTCGAACTGCCTCCGTTATTCCTGTGCAAAAATCTGACAGATTTTAATAATACTCGTTCTTAATCTTTATATTCTTGGAACTTACTCGTTTCTAGGTTAAGCATATATAATACTTATTGGTTCAAACACATAGCTAATTTTGTAGCCTTGAAGTTCGCTGGCACATTCCTAAACCTTGCTAAACCTGGGAATGGATCGATAACGTATTTTCTGCTCTCTGAATGTTAAGCTTCATTATGATAATGCTGTTAGTTGTTCTGTTTCATAATTACCATTGTTTCTTTCGTGCTGGTTCGTAATTGACTTTGCTTTCCGCAGTCACACTTCCCGGAACTACTGCTTTTCTTAGCCTATTCGCACCCTGGTTTTTCATTTTTCATTTTTGATAATGCGGTTTCATTGAATTATGTATATTTAATAAACGAATTCATTTATTGATGCTCGTGATGTTTCGACTACTTTTCCTTAGAGCAATAAATCATACTATCGCTCATCACTTCGACCATAAAATTTTTTCCGTGAATTTCAGGTTTCACAGCGAGCGACACTCCAGAGAACGAGTTTTTGCACACAACAGTAGCAACACTGATTCATTATCTTCAATTTCAACTCAGACTTATACATGGAGTCCATCCGTTGCTAAACGAGGTAAATGTTAGATGTGCATGATTTGTTGCTTATATTACTATTCTTCAGCATCTACTACTATATGATTTGTATGATGACTTTGTATGGTGAGCAAACGCTAAGTTTGTTGCGCATGATCATTTCGTACAATTTTTATAAGAAGCCCATCACAATTCATAATCAATGTGGTGCATGCTTTATCGTTTCCCCGTTTAGTTAGCGAACATAGTCGGGCATGGGTCACACTTTTGCTTAGCACCATTGACCTTTGACCCCTATTCAAAGAAACAAATGAACAGGTCCTTTCACTTTGGACAGAATTTGAAGCTTTTCGGAAATATCGATTAATAATATCGGCTGAAATTTGTAAAATAAACAACTAACATTTGTTAGGAAACAAATAGAAGTGGCATAAATATGTATTTGTGAGTGTGCGTTTATGCGTTTGTATGTATGTATGCATGTGTGAAGCAGGGTTAAGTGATAACTTTCTCTACAGTAGTGGCTCATAAATTCATTTTTTTCTGAAATCAGTTTTGCGAATCATACAATGTTGCATTTATGGCTGGCTACCAAAGGTAACAGGAAGGTACTGGAAATGTTTTGTATTTATCAATTGTTGTTATCAGTTTTTGAATTTTCTAATATTTTTTGTGAAATTCATAAATTACGTTGTTTTCGAGAGTGGATAAGTACTCGTCCTCTTCATGTTAGGAATAAATTTTTTTTTAATTTCATGTTAGAACTAGTTAGGACTAGATTTTTGTTTAATACGCTTTTCTTCTAAATTTTATTAAGAAAGGAACTTTATAGAGTATTTTCAGGGTCTTCCTTTGCTTATAATGTTTCTTCACTGTCTGATGGAAACACGACTAGTGAACGCTTCACTTGTGCTGGGAATATTTTTGCTAAAAAACAAACAGCCGTTTGGTCAGCAGTTAACAGTGAACTGAAGAATCGTCAAAAAATTGCCAAGGTTTGCACATCTCTTCTTATAGAGAAGTCATTCATTGCTACCATTTCTTCATATTAACTCTATTGTAGACTAAAATTTGAACCCCAGTTTCTTTCCATATGAAAATTTATATATCCGAATTTTCGGCGGAATAGGTCGTCCACCTCGCAGGAATCTTCCTTTTTGTTTTCTTATCTGTTCTTTTCCTGATAAGATGATATATTTAGTATCGTGATAAGTACACCTTTTTTGTTCTTGTTCGCTTGTCAGTCACTCTTACCTAGTAGCTACAGCGCAATAGTAATAGTTTTAGTATCATTTGCATTGTGCTGATACCGTTTTAAGAATATTAGTTAGTAGGATCAATATAATTATTGCAATAGTTTTTTTTAGTAATAGTAAAGTATTTTTCCATTTGGTAGCGCCACGTTCAGTCCATCAAGTTCCAGTAATTAGTGATATAGCCATTTCTTTTTCCGTTACAATGACACACTCATTCTGCTCTTATTTTCAATCATTCATTCCTTCAGTTGAGTCAGTTTTACTTTTATAAAACAAATCTCTTATTTCTTTTTCTATAATTAAGGGTAATTATAGAAAAATGAATTGGGGAGTTAATATTATACCCCAAAAGAAACTCATTACACACTTTTCTAATAGCTTTTTCTTTCTATAGGTTCGACCAACTCCACAAGTACCTTTATTAAAGAAAAGCTTAACTGCGGGTGCGGTTGGAAGTTCGATACAGAACAAACTGCATTCTCGTGGAATGACTACTGGAAATGGCAGTGAAGGTCGTATTTGACTTTGACTGATCCGAACTGTTTACTACTTTGAAGTTTATTACATAATGTTATATCCGTTGAAGAGATCTTTCAACCGAAAAAACTTGTTAAATAATAAGTTACCCATTGTTAACTTTACTTTCGGGTTTTTGATTATTTTTAATTTAAATCTTTCTTTTGTACCTAAATGAGGGATATATAGAGAGCGTTATGAAGCCCTCGTGATTATAAAATTCATTTAAGGAAAAAAGATTGAAAAATCATGTTTTCAGCATTATCAAAGGTCTCTCCTTCCCAGCCGTCATCATCCGAAAGTCTTCCTCATTTACGACGGCAAAATTCTTGTGATACGCCTGTTTGTAGTGACAATGCTTGTGAAAATTTAGCATCTGAATATGCTCATTTATCAGAATCCGTCGATACGTCAATGAAAGCAGACTTGATTGGTTAGTTTTTGAATTATTCTAAAAGCCTGAACTTTTTACTTGAATTTTTTGATGATGGATATGCTTCAAATACTATACATCACAACCTTGAATGCTGTTCTGTAGCTGAAAATCATCATTAAAATTTATAGCAATTAACAGCTGAACATTTGAAACTACCCATGTCGTGATTTCATATAAATTAACTACTTTATTATGGAAGTTTGAACTCTGAATAGGTTCTGTGATTTAGTTAATAGACGAATTGTTTTATAAAATATATCATTCTTTAGTTGGAAACAAGTTTTTGTTCGAACAAAACAAGCAAGACTTATCAATTTTCCAGTGAAAAGGGGATCTCCAAGTCAAGATCAAAGTGGGAAAGATGATGATAACATTAGTATTGCTGGAACAGTCTTCAACGAACCGTGGGATTCCAATGTTTGGGAGAATTTGTTGGATTTGGCTCATTATGGGGATGAGAAACCATCCACTCTTACAAGGCACCACGATACGAATCAAACTGTGCTTGGTTATTTTTATTATTATATTTAATTTTTACTATTGTAAATTCCATTTTGATAACAATAGCTGGGGAATTTCTTTTAGCCCGAAGCTCGGATATGAAAAAAATTTTAACGGGAGTTTTTCACAATCTTATTTTTATGTATTTCAAAGCAGCAGTGGTATGAGGATGATACATGCCTGATGCAACCATACTATCGCGTGGTTTATTATTCGTTGTTAAAGTTATAAGCTAGTGTAATATAGATGACTAGCCAGTAATAGTTTTTGTTTTCTTTACTTAAGATTTTTCATACCATATTCTGTAACACTAGTGGTTTTTGTTTTTGTTTAGACGAAGCAATCGCTGAAGAGGGTGATGATGAAGTGATTTGCTCGCTAGAAATGAGCTATGACGGTGAAGAGGAAAGAAATCTTCAGAAATTACAGTCCATTACTGGTATGGGTGATTGTCGAAGTATGATTTATTTGTTTTATTTGTTTGTTTTGGAAATATTTGTTTCATTCCCGCTTTGTTGTAAGTTAAAGGGAATTTCTTGGATTAGAGATAAGAGTCTCGAGAACTGATATTTCTGGATTTACGGACATTTTCCTGACTTTTTAGTATTTAAATCATTTTTTATCTTATTTACATCTCGAAATATAAATTTTACTTTTATGATAATTCAAGATGACGGCAATTACGGTGTAGTAATTCGGAGGTTTGATAGTCATCATCTAAATAATAACGCAGAGTCAGATGGTCGACGTAATGGTATTATAAACATTAACGCTCATTTGAAAAATGAAGATAGTTTGGAAAAACAACAGCAATTTGAAACAATCTGGTTTGTTCCGTTTTTTTAGATGGAATTTATAACTTTTTTCACAATATTTCACAGTTGTTCGATCCCATTTAATTTGGTAGGATTATTCATTCAGATTCTCGCATTGGTTTCTTTGATTTCAGTAGATCAGTGACGAGTGGTAGTGGAGATCCAGAAGCATCAAATTCAATGATGAACATAAGCAATACTGGAGAAATGTCGGATGGAACGGCGACTATGGATAGTCATAAATCAACAAACACACATTCAGTATGTTTGCTAATCGTGAACTTGTGGTCATTCATTAGGTTAATCCGAACAGTTTTGGATCTATAAATTATAATTTTCTATTTTTTGACGCCGTACATGAAATATCAGTGTTTTTCCATGTTGTTTTATGCTTTTTGTTGATTTTCAGCTGCCACGTATCCTTCCACGATATTCGAAGCTTGATGATTCGTGGCTTGAGTCTCTAGATGATATCCCAACAAGCATTCGCGCACTTTCACCCATCATTTCACCTCCACGGCTGAAAAATAGCTTAAGCGCAGACCCGGGTACAAAGATTCAAGAATACGTTGAAAGGTTAATTAACTTTGAATTCTTATATGTCCTTAAGTTACGAGATATTAGAACCATGAAAACGATCTTATTTTGACTTTTGACATATTTAACGATAATTGAGGTTGTCAGTTGCAGGCTATCACGGGAGGAAAATACAGTGTTCGGTGCTACCTTACGTCGTTTCATTGAATGTACATTTGAAGCAGGGGAATGTGATCCACAAGTATTTTTTCACTTTTTTTAAAATTGGTAGCAGTATGTGATCCGTAAGCCTGATCAGCCAATTCAAATTTTGAGTAGCTTTAAATAACAAATAATAATGAGAATGGATAAAATGTCCAGGTTTTAAATTTATTATGCAGAAATCTGCTCAAATACATGTCGCAAAAATTTTGAATCATTTGTGAAATTCAAATAGAATCGTTATTTTACAAAGATATCTGTTTGAAGCGTGATTTTAGGTGGTAATTCGAAATGTTCGGCAGTTTTTAAACGGTTTAAAAAATTATCTGGTAAAGCATGGAGAAGGCGAACTTCATGACCTTATCGAAAAAGAACGAGCGCGACTGAATGCTAATGAATTTTTGAATATTGATGCAATTTTAGAAGCTGTTTTGCACAAAATTGTCCTTTGCAAGTTTTTCTTTGACGTAATGATTGTATATTTAATTCGCAAGGTTATCTTTGGTATTATGAGTTTCTGGTTTATTTGCTTCTACATGATCTGGCGAAACTTTCCTACCAAACTGAAATTGACGGGATTTTTTTCAAAATTCTGGAAAGATCAATATCTTTTTATATTTTCGAAAGAAATTTTATTGAAATAATGCAATTTAGGCCCAGTAAAACCGCATCTCTACCATTTGATGGTACGCGAATACTCAAAAAATGGTTGGCTTCAAGCACTTTCGGAAAATCTTACCTATGTCCGAACTTTGTCGCCAGAACAGCTAGGCTTTGGAGTCCGTTGTAAAGTAAGTTACTTCTGCATGATGTTGCAAATAATCTTATTGGCGCAGGTTCTGGTAAGTAAAATCTGAATTTTGTGACTGTTGAGGTCAACTTATTTTTGACCAGCTAAAATTTGAAAAATCTATATTTTTCTGACTGCAATGGTTTTAGTTCACACCACCCACAACGCAGAAAATGGAGACAATCAAGATTTGTTTGCGAAAAATGCAACATCATTATTCACCGTTGAAGAAACTGGAAAATTTATTGCGAGTGATATTTTTGGCAATTGGTAAGCAACAGTCCTGCGATAATCCGAGTGGTGATATGGAAAATTACGATCCGATTAGCATTGATAACAACAAGATTAAAGCTTTGCCCCCTGCTGATGGTTAGTCTTCAATAATGATTACAATAATAAGTATGCAGTGAGTTACAAATGTACAACATCTTATCTAAAACGTTTTTCCACATTTATTGATGGGAATACTTGATAATTTTTATTCGGTGGCTCATTAGCTGACGATCATTTATAAAATCTTAATTTTTGAAGTGGAATTGGTTTCAGTTATTAAACGAGATTAGAAGCTTCGACTAAGAATCACTTAAATTGTGGAATGAATTAAATTTAGAGCTGGTGCGATGGTTAGTGTATTTGTTATCACGTACATCAACGGTCGGTTGTGAAGTTGAAGCGTGGTACATGTGGGAGCTGCTCCCAAAACAATTGTTGACTACTGGTGATTCCAGTTACTACCTCATCACTCTTTTTTCTGCCATTGATGTACTGAAAAATACCGAAAGCATTCGAAAGTTGGGCCAAGTGGATGACTCTTCAATAACGGTACCTTAATTTCTTTAAGTTCCAATTTTTTCAAATTTTCAGAAAGAGTGGATACTCAAGAATTTTTTTTTTTTTTTTATTTGTAGGAAGATGGGTCATACTGTTCTTCATTAGGCAGCGTTAGTCCAGTACTTTCATCATCATCAGATGCTTTTGTAAAGGTAGCCGTTCCGGATGAACTTGGTGGTTCTATCCGATATCATACATTTCCTGGTGTACCACAAATGACCGCTGGAAAGCTGTGTCGCGTTATTGCACATCAGTTTGGCATTACAAATCCTGAAGATCATGGATTGTATGTTTTCCTTGTTCGTTTTAGTATTTTCTGGTGGAATAGTTGTATTTAAAATTAAGATCAATAACTGTTAAGGAAATCTTTTCCGCGACTTATTTACCGTTGAAAATACATTTCAAAGGGTGTACTTGCGATTGAGGCATCTCTCTGCGGCACTTGATTGTAAGTTTTTAGCTATCATTTTTTTTTCATGATTGGAATTGTTTATTTCAGGTATCTTCTAGTTGACGGTTACGAAACATGTCTTCTGGCAAACGAGTGCCCTGATTTAATTCGCCATCAGTTGAAGCAGGCACATAAGGCGCATTTATTTGCTTATAAACGACATGAAGCGAAAATAGCTTGGCCTAAATTCCCAGTGTCTTCCCTTTCCTGATGTGATCTGGGTAATAGTGTTTCATAACAGCGGGAAGTGTATTTACTGTGATGGTCCTATATTTTGACATGTAAAGTAATACTTAAAAGAAAACAGAAAACTACTTATTTCGACGAAAAAATAAAAATCATATCAGTCAGGTGTTTTATCTTCACAAAGGTGAAAGCGGTTATGATGCAGCTCATTATTTCGTCATAAATTTCGCCAGGCATTCCATTAACTTCTAATTAGGTTTAATTAGTTTGTGAAGGCGTAGATTTTATATTTTTGCTCAAAGTGTGTTTTGTAATTGTTGTGGAATTGTTTTGACATGCAATAATAACTTTTCGACAAATTTAAAAATGATTTTGTGATTGACGGAAAGAGAAATTTGTAGATTGACAGTTATCTTTGACATAATTTTGATCAGAGACTCAGTCCAAAATCGGAATCAGATAACAAAACTTGAAAATTGGTTTGAATTCACTAAACCCCGAAATTTATGTGAGGCGTAGAGAAAGTGGCATAAAGCTGTAAATTACATAATCATTACTTACCTTGAACAAGAATCCTATCTAGTAGGATAATTCATATCAGAATTTTGCTTCGGGGGGTCATAATACTTTTATGATATTTGAAACGAGAATTTTTCATGTCATTTTCCGTTTTCTTTTTTTCGTTTCAGAAATTTTCTGGTCTACTTTCTGTATATTTGGACAACATTATTGTATTAACTTTGTAGACATTTTACTCGAGGGAAAAAACACTCACTTGCTTCCAACTAACTTTAGATGTACCGTTGGATATTTACTTTAAAATGCAGCAAATTCTAGCTGCTCATTTAGTGAATTAAGTTGTAACTCTGAACTTGTGCATTATGGAATTTTATTCTGAATTTAGTAAATGAAAGGGAATGGCTAACTGGAGATCTCTGACTGTTGAACTGTACCTTACCTTTACTAGTCGTCGAACTATTTCAAATTTAAAGAAAAGGGATACTTCTACTAGATTTTCAGTGATAACGAATTATTGTTTAAAAAGTCGTGATTTTGACATGAATATCGTGGCAGGATTTTACTGTATGTCTGGTGTGTTATGGGACAAGTTTTACCTTCATCATGTGTTTTGATGTATGCAAGAATCTCATTTTTATTATTCCAGTGTGTGCTTACTTTTTTTTTGGGAATTTCATCTTTTCATTGTACTTGTGTTGTTCATATTTTAACTTTAGAAGGGAGAAAGAAATTGTCTGGTCATAAGGAATAAAATCATTTCTTCAACGACTATTATGTTTTGTTGCAAAAAACCAGAAATGTTCAGGCATTGGGCATTAGTACTGTAAGAATAAAGTATGACTTTTGAAATTGGAAATATTTCTATTTAGAAATGTAGGGCAGAGGTGGGTTGATTTGTCTGCGATATGTAAATGTTCGGATAAAGGCTATGTTTATCGTAATTTTATTATTCACACTGCATTCAGCATTCATGTGGAACAGGAGGATTATAGCTGTGATTTTGTGAACATTAAAGGATTATTAGTGGTAGGGAAGGGGGTTATGGCTTTTGCGACTGCGCAAATTAAATAATGATTATCCCGAGTGGTTCAATTCAGGTTTTAAAACTATCAAAGGAAACTTCTCAAGCCTAGCTCTCAGTGATGAACAATAGTGCGATTTAATCCATGATTATAATGCATTATGAATGAGGACACTGAGATACTCGGGGTTTAAAGGAGACTGGTCAATTTATCCGCGTTTGATAGAGTCAACTGGGCTTGACAACTGACCACATGTCTCTTTCGTGAATGATGAGGTCTGTCTCGTCAAAAACATAAAGAAGCTCTCTCGTGTGCCAACCGGTACCATGTGAAACGCTCGAAGAGATGAGCGGAACGAAAATCTTTCGGCTCACACATGAATTTTGAGTGCAGATATAATAAAAGTACGGGTATAGCCAGCAGATTAGGTGTGGCCAAGTTTCTTATTGTGTGGGTGGCCTGGGCTATCGATTGTTGCATTTTATTTTCCATCTTGAAAAGATTTGATGATTGCATCACGGCAATTAATCCGACTAATTGTGCTCAAGAAAACTTTCAATCGATTATGTTCGGTTAGCGTCGTTGCACCAACATCCAAAACTACTAAAGAGGTAATATTTTAGTGCTTCGGAGTAGCTCAAACTCAAGCATAATACGCATTCACTGCAATGCTAATTTCAGTAAACCTATGTACTCAGACCTGAGTACATAAACCTATGTACTCAGAGATATCGTACTCAGACCGAAATTCAGATATCTAATAAAAAATTCGCTACAATAGCTGCTATTCGCGATAGCCGAGTTGTTGTTCAAACTTCACTTATATTTCTGCTGCAGCGATACCTTGATGTTTGGTGTAATCCTTACGAAACAGAAGCTTAGATTAGTGCCTATTTCTAGTGCAAGCTACCAGTCTTAGTGCTTCCCTGGGGTCCTGGTCAAGCTAGTTCCTAGTAACTCCCCGACTCAGTTTCCCAACGCCTGGAAATGGTTGTTTATTCTGTTATTTTCAGGCACTAAAAGAATTACGAGAAAAAACCGGGTACAGCTATGTCAATTGCCGCAAAGCACTCAGTGATTTTGGAGTAGATAATCTGGATGAGGCTATCAAATGGTTGAAAAAAAAGGCTACAGAAGAAGGCTGGGAGAAAGCTGCAAAGTAATTATTAGTTATCTCGTTTTTTGATCATAGTTTGAAATTTCAGAAATTTACATGTTTTCCAGACTTGGTGATAGACCAACAAGACAAGGTGTTGTGTCGGTGATAGCAAAGGGCAATAAAGCAGCTATCGTTGAATTAAACTGTGAGACGGACTTCGTTTCCAGAAGTGAGGATTTTAAACGATTGGTAGGTTTTTGAATCCGTAATAATTGACAAAGGTGGAAAAGTATAATTAATTTTTGTGGCAATTCACTTTACTAAAATTAAAAAACTGTCACAGGAATTCAGAGATCAATTTAGAAGCTGAGTGATTGCTATGATGAACTTTCTCATTTTGACTCTCGCTGTAGTTTCATTTTAAGTTTACTGAGTTCTCGGCATTTTTATGGATTCAAATTATTCTCAAGAAACAATTTTTAGGTTGAAAATGTGGCTAAAGCGGTTTTGCATGCTACTGATCGGGATGGAACGATTATTGATGGTTTTGAGTTACTGAATTCAAGTGAGTAACAGTTCTTAATCACGAACATGTAGGCATTATGTTTTCTCCCTTTCGTTGGCAGATTTATGTTTCATTTTCCCCCTTGCAAGAAAATTAAATTTGTGAGAGATTGCTGTTTGCATGATTCGTGTGTTTGAAATTGCTTACTTTTTTTATTTTAGATTTTATTGGAATTTTCAAATCTTTTACTTTAGTTCTGGTTGCTTAAAATCGTACTTTGTTAGATTTGGGCATTTCTTCAGTTGCATCCGGATTTTCTGCATTTATAAAATGCTTTTGTTTCTTGGTTAGTTTTAACTTCATAAGTATCTTGCTGATTTTCTTATAAACAGTATTCCAGGTATTAATTCTCTTAAAACATCAGAAAGTGGTGAGCTGGTAAGGGATTTAATTACGGAAGTAATCGGTAAACTTGGCGAAAATATAACTCTTTCGAGAGCGCAGTTAATACTGGCACCACCTGATGTTCAACTTTTTGGCTACGCACATCCCAAAGGTTTGCTTTGGCATAATATGGAGTTTGTTTATTGTTTGAAATCATATGCCTTTTTATCAAGCATTTTTATTAAACCTTTTATTAAACGGAATAAGTTGATTAATAAACAATTTTTTGTAAAGAAGGTACCGACACAGTATGCATGGGAAGATATGTATCGGTTGTTGGCCTGAAAAGATCGAACAAAACAAATTTTCCAATAGAAAAGCTAGGACTGCAATTATGTCAACACGTTGTGGGAATGAGGTAAATTATTTCACTATCATCACTCGCTCAAATTACACTGCCTTCACGTTCACAGAAACGTTTTATGAATATAAATAATGGTATAAGATTTTATTTCGAATTTGAAGATTGAAATTTGAATTCTGGTGTAATTCAGTCTTAGGTTTCTACTAGTTCATTACCTTATTAGTTCATTATCTTATTATCTCTCTTCATTATCTTATTAGCATGCTTTTCAGGACTAAGTTACGTGAAAATTAATAGATTATCTTTACATAAAATCCTGTGATCGCTAATATATTTTAGGTCTTCAACACTGGGCACGCCGTTACCTCTAGAGGAAACAACTTCTGTAAAGGATGAATTACCTCAGGGAGATGAAATCAACGCTTTTTATGATGGGAAGGTTCGTTGCAGCTAAGGATATGACTTTTTAACTATCTTAATTGTTTAAATGAGAAAAAAAAAAGGACTAAAGAGTGAAGTGAAATTAATTGAGTGAATTCCAGAATTTCTATTCATATACTTCGAAATTCAATAACCATGATTTGATAGAAAGCATTTATTTGTTCTTACTGAATTTAGGTGGCTGCACTGGTACTATTGGCATAACTTGAGATTGTAGATGTATATTCTTCAAATATAAAATCTTGGATTGACACTTCTATAAATTTGTTGGAATATGAAGTTTGAATCAGTACTGATGACTAAAATTGATGGTAATCGGACAAGTGCAAAAAAGAAAAAAAAAAGTAGGGCAGTAAATAACAAAATTCGTGCACGAAGGGAGATATTCCGATAATTTAATGGAAGTGCTTATTCGTCAGTGTTTTATAATTGCAGTTTTGCTGTAATATTTCAAAAACTTTCAAGTTTCTTGTCATTCCAGGTCACTCATATCGATGAAAGTGAAACTCAGCTATTAAGGCAACCATTTATGCTGAATCCTTCGCAGACAGTTCATAAATATGTTGCTGGACATGGAGCCAGCATTGTTGATTTTTATCGCGTTGAATTGAGTGATAATTTGAACGAAGAACCTATTCAAAGTTAACCTTTTTTAATCTTTTGTTTTTTTCCTTTTTTGGAATATACAAAATTGCTTATGTCTTATCCCCACAGAATCCTTCCATCTCACGCAATTTCAGCGTCATAATTTAGCTTAGGATGCAAGCATTGTCTTAGGTTTCATTAACACTTCAGTTGTCGTTAGAATGGTGCGTAAAACACTTGTTACGTATGTCGCATACTCGTTTTTGCATGCTGCAATAGTTGCATACTTCTTGCAGATGCACATTGCAGTGGCAGATTTATGGATTTTAACTTTAAATTCTTGCTTAATGTTTGTTGCTATGTCTCATTTTTTATTCATTTCTCATTGTTATTTAAACTGTTACTGTCTCGCACTATATAGTATTAAAAAAATTTTTGAGGACCGACATCTTTTGTCTAGCTGCAAAGTAATACCTTTTCCTGAATTCATCCAAGCGTTGTAGTGAATTTTTTGACTTATCAAGAAGGTATATAGAAACCTTTGCTTTATGCGGCAACTTCTAAATTAAATGTTGAATGCACATTGTACCGATTGTATGAAGGGCTAAAATTTATGGTGCCAACGAAATGCAGAGTTATTAAAAAAATTCAGTTGTAGACATTAGAGACAGGCTACTTTTCAAAGCTTACATAGTTCTTAAATTTAATTTTCTCGAGGCATTCCAAAGAGGAAACAAAGTTGATTTAAAAAGAAGAAAAATAAGGAACTTTAATCTTGGACATACTAATCTCATTTTGGAGCTGCTCAACCTAATTTTTGCGTTCGACGAGAGCAACAAAAGCGCGAGTGTTAAGCTTTTTTTAGCGCCTCAGTGCTTCAGTAATCAAAATTTTTCAAAATCTTTTCAAATTACTCGAATAATATATTTACAGCAGAATTTTTATTAAAAGTTTTCATTTTTAGAAAAGAATGCATTTCTTGAACATATTAAGAAGCAACAGCAACAATGATATATCGCTGCTGCTTCAATTCTTTTTTTTTGAGACCACTAATTTTCATGTCTTGGTACTTTAGCTCTTTGAACTTAATTACTCATTTCAAAACTATTCGATGGTACCTGTTGCTCCTCTTTGTCAATATTTTTCTTTGCTCTTACAATCAATGAAAAAGCTGAATCTAAAAGTTTCATTCAAGTCAATGGAATTTAAGATGCTGAAATTGAAAACTGTCAAGTAATTGAAGTGATTGCTGTACAGCTGATTTTGAAAGCAAGAGGCTGGATAATTCTCCTATATTTTTATATGCACAAAGCGAATGGGTTAAACGGAATCGTTGATTATTACTTTTCTGAGCAAGTGGAACTACTAGTTTTTTCGGTTGTAGCTGTCTCATTAATAGGAGGAGTAAAATTATGATGTAAAAAAGTCGAACTGTGCATAGGATTACCGATGTCAATGATAAAGTCTTGCCATTAACGATCTGTCGATATTGTCCAGTACTGTCATTTACTGTTAATCCTTTCTGCTATTATATCTATACCATACTTGTATATTAATGAGACAGTTTGTGAATGAAGTAGAAATTATGAATATCTTGGGCTTCTCAAAAAGGGTACTTTTTTCCTGTTACGTATTTCAAATTTCTTGAAAAAATTCAAAGAATTTCAAATTTACAATATAGATTTGATGTTTACAAAAACTCTTCTTAATATGAGTGTAATGCTTAATATACCGGAGTACCAGGTCGACACCGACGGAACTTGTTCTAGAAATTTTTACTTTTCCATATGTGAAACTGTATTAGCGCAACAGACCTGTCATTCAAATGGAGGAGTATTGTAGCTGACAACACAGTTGTGTTGACGGTGTTAACAACTATCAAACACTTCCAAGTATCAGTCTTCCGAAGATACTTGAGGCATTTAGCATTCTAGTTGTACTGTCGAGGAGCGTTATTAGAACGACAGGAATTGGATAAAACATTCAGATAACAATAATAGCGGTTATTACCATATCATCGTTGTATTTCATATTTTGCGCAAAAGAGTTCATAAAATATTGTCTCTAACTTGTATGCCATCTATCCTTCCTTTATTCATTACTTACCATCCCCTAAGTTTAATATGCTCATTGTGAATCATAAATTAGACTGTTAACCTGAATTACTATTAAATTAATTCAAAAGAACAGTACAAATTCTATCAGTGTCATCGCAGTCATAAATAGTGTTTCTCTTATGGTACCCTTATTTTCCCACCTGTGAAACATCTCTGAGATTACAGTCCCAACTTTCTTATTGTTTCATTTTCGATTAACTGTGGAACGTGTCTTCTTTCTTGCTATTATTTTTCTTTTCTTCTAAATATAAACTTTCATTGTATGTCAATTATTGTCACTTCCAATGAATCCGAACTTCATCCTTTTTTTAACCTTTCTGACATATTTCAATGTCAATATTGAAGAAATCAAACCATAAGTTTAAATATTAAATTATGTCAATATAAGAAACTACCGTTTCAAGCTTCAGCTGATGTGATATAACTATAAATGTTTACTATGATTTCAAAAATAAATAATTTTTCTTTATAATAATTTTAATTATTATTATTATTATTATTATTATTATTATTATTATTATTATTATTATTATTATTATTATTATTATTATTATTATTATTATTATTATTATTATTATTATTATTATTATTATTATTATTATTATTATTATTATTATTATTAT